GATGATTCTCACAAGTTGATCAACAAGAGCTTTGCAAGCGGGCGAATTAGGCTTGAATGCTGACTTTCTCAAATCAGAATCTTGCTCCGCCACAGCTGTGATTTCCTTTACTGCCATAGCTGAATTGTACTGAATATCTTCAGTCCCATTCTCTAACAGCACTGCAAAGCAAAGCAGTGCTCTTGATTCAGTAATGCTACGGCAAATAGATGAATTTCCCTTGGCTAGTTTCCATAGAGCTCTTGCAGCCATTGCCTTCATATAATCCTTAGTAGCAGACTCCTCGAGTTCTCGCCCTTTACTACTTACCCCTGTAGTAGAAACACTGTGCTGATGGTGATGGTTTACATCATCATTATTATCATTCACCTTGTGCACACTAGTCACACTACCCCTATTATTATTATTACTAGCAAAAACGACAGCATGAATCGACGTGGCTTTGCTAGCTATAGCATACTTGCTATGCTCCTGGACTGTCTCAAAGGCGAGATGGCTAACAAGTAATCTAATTATATTATGCTGATGAAAGAGATCCTGACATTTTGGGTAATTTGCAGAAAGTTCAGAAACTGCCCAAGCCACTACAGCCTGAACTTTCATTGAACCTTCTTTGAGGATTTTCACAAACACTGAGCATACACCAAGATGCACCATGTGTTCGACGCTTTCAATGTCACGTCCTAATAGTCCAATTGCCTTTGCAGCATTCTCCTGACCTTCCAATTTTCCTTCTTTCAATAATTTCAACAATGGTCCAACTCCACCTTCTTCAACGATCAATTTTCCATTCCGATGATTGTCCTTAGCTAGTGAAGTCAATGATGCAGCAGCTTCAGATCGATCATTGACCGAACCAGTATATAAAATCGCTATAAGTTCCCAAATAAAACACAATATAGGTTCATTAGCGGCAATAGGAGGAAGGCCCAAATACTCATCTCCGCTTTCTGTGGCGGAGACACGGAGGAGCCACGAAACATTAACTATGGAATTCTCTAGCTGTGAAGACAGGTTGCGGAAAGATGCAGACGGGATGATGGTAAATACGCGCTGCATTAGTCCCTGAGCGCAACATTTGGTAACGATAGATATAGCCATTTCCAGGGCTTGTTCAGTGTCGTCAATGATACGCCTCGTGGGGCGTTGGTAGAGATCGTTGCTGGCTCGTGCTGCTTGACGAAGCAGCACGACCA